CCATCTCACCCATCCCTTCCTGCAGCTTGCAAGCAGAAGCCTGAGACAACAGATCAAGCCTACTGTGACTATGAAGCTACATCTCAACCAGAATGAAGACCAAACTGCCCAGGTGTTGCAAACTGACCCTGCTACCCTCCTCCACCTGATCCAGCAGCTGGAGCAAGCGCTGGGAGAGATGAAAACCAACCACTGCAGGAGAATCGTGCGCAACATGAAATAGGCTCCACTCCTGCCTGCTCTCTCAGAAAGCAGTTTGTGAAACAGCCCAAAGCAGTGCTCACAGATACATTTTGAGGAAAAACAAACATCTGGATCAGATGAAATGCTTTCCTGTGCCAGGATCCTGAGCCAGTAGTACGGGCTGAACACACTCAGCTGCCAGTTCTGCACACTTACCTGACATGAGATAGGTAATTGGGTTTGCTCTCCTTGCAGCTGGAGGCATCCAGCATACTGTGCTGAGAACTTCTTAGCTCTACATGAGTAATTATGCTTTTGCATTGTTAAGAAAAATGTCTAATAAAAAGCCACTTTTCAGTTGTATGTTAATGGAGTATTTTGCGGCAAGTAAGATTAAGTAGTTCTACTAATCAGTGCCTTAGTGTCACTACTAAGGGTGCATCATAAAGTCCTTAGAGTATATTGGAAAGGACAGATAGGCAAGAGAGAACCATAACATACAGATTCTGGCAATAACTGTATTTCCTCTTCTTCATAGCAACACCATAAACTTCTGTATTAGTTGTGTGTTTACACTCACAAATGAATTCTTTCTGGTTTGAATTTTTGTACCTCTCAGAGGTACTATTTCAAGTGAAACCTCTTTTTAATAGGCTTTTTAAAATTTGCTCTGGTATCTAGCCAGTCAAAGCAAAGGGACATTTGAGGCTGTTCCTCTACTACTTTTCTTCAAGTGTGGAAGAACCGATTGTTGATTTTATAACTTTTTTAATGTACTTCCAACTTCTGAAAAAATTAAGTAACTTTTTTCCAAAGTGACTAACCAATTTGATTTCAGGCTTTTTTCCCATCATTAGGTATGTAAGAGCCTTCTACTGGTCTTAGGGAAAGTAAAAGCCCATTGTTCTGTCAAAGTGTTATTTTTTTGGCTAAAAGAAAACTTAAAGTTTTAAACTGAATTTGTCTTATTCCATAATGTGTGTGAACATTCAAAGCAGCATTCCCAGTACTCCCAACAGATGCGGGAAAGACCAGAACTGCGAACTCAGAAGCTTCTCAGCCAGGCCTTTAGGCAATTCTGTGTGCACAGATCTACCCTGAGTGAACAGAAAAGATTCTGTCCTGATAGTTTTGTCTTTAGAGAAATCCCTCAGTTGGTACTTGCACTATTACTGAGGCAAAACTTGTTGTAAACATCTTTATTCTGAATTTCAGGAATTGGTTAATAATTTGCCATGGGTGGCATTGAAAATCAGCCTTGTGTGAAGCATGAAGACGTTCTCTTCTGCCAGCTGAGCCCTGGGACAGCAGGAGCCAGGTACAGCCAGCTGCACAGTCCAAGTGGTGAGCGCTGGGACTGGTCCAGAGATCTGAGATAAGATAGTCAGTGCTTTGGGAACCAAGAGGTGAAGCCCCAGCAAAGCTGACTTGGGATCTTTGGAGAAACTTTGTTACACAAAAAAAGATGAGACTCTGTGTTTGTCAGGATTTTCTGATTGTTACAAGCTGTGGCACTTCTGAAACATTTTCTTCAATATATATATAATTCTCTCAATATTCAATTGAGAGAATTTCCTCCTAACGTGGCTAATTCAGGGATGTGTTGTAAAGTCTCCTGTTACAGAGGTCTGGCATACAGTCTCAGTAGATGCAGTTGAGGATTCCCAGGGAAGCAGGATACATGCCTGTTCCATATCAGTCAGCAGCTATCCCACAAAGGCTGTGGGCAGTGGGAGTGCTGCTTTGTGGGTTTTCCTTTTCATCCTTTTTGAGTAAGTTCTATCATCTCACCTGTGAACTTTTAATACATTGCTGCACCAGGTCCAGTATTTTAGTTCTTCCTCATGAAAATCATAAAACCAAAGCAGGGAGGAAAACAATCCTTCATCTTCCATTCTTCCCTGGTATAAACATGAGACAAACCCATGTAGCTCTATCTCTTCAGGCCCCATCTTCACTTGTGGTCTCAGCTGATGCCTGGAGATGTTTGCCTAGTTCTTTCCACTGAAAGAGTAAAGGCTCTTCTTGCTCTGTAATGCTCTTGGGCTTTTCCCTGTGCAGCCAAACCAAAAAGGAAGTGAAAAGGAAGTCCTTCTATTTCTGCTCCACTGGTTTTGCTGTCATCTACTTGCTCCATGTAGGAGCACATTTTACAGATTGGTTTTAGACTGGTCAACTTTTACACTCCCTAGAACAATTTGTCTCTCATCCCTGTTTCTTCTCCCACAAAGGTTAAAAGTTAGTATCAAGAATGACTTTCCATCAAAAAGAAAAAATGATGGAAACAGGGAATACTGATCATGGATGTCATTCCTACTCACCTGGGAAAACAGAGGATCCTGCAATTCAAACATTCACAGAGCAAGTGCTGCAGGTCAGAGGGGGAAAGGGTGAAACATGCTCATGCTGCACTGAGCAATAAATCAACAACGTGTGCTCAGGATGTATTAAGGAATACAGGACACTGCCCTTTTATTTATATGTGTGTGTATGTGTGTGTGTATACATACATATAAGTATATATACACACCCAGACACTTACTAGGTGACAACTGGTATGTTGTCCGTGGATAGCAGAACCAGGATGTCAAAAAATTGGGCTCAGTTTCATATTTCCCTGCTGAGTCTGAGTAAATCTGTATGGGACACAGGGAATTCAGGCTGGAAGACTCTCCCAAAATACCACATCTGATTATAATTAAACTACTAGCTTTGTTTGCTGGCAAAATCCACATCAGAAAACCCTCTCCATGTGCACGCAACTTATTGACAGAGAAGAAAACTGTATCTTTCTGCAAGTTAACTCTGAAGCAGCAGATCAGGTCCCAGTTTATTTTACATGACTGTTTCGGGACTTATCCCACAGAATTTGGCTGAAAACCATCCTTGTGTAACTGAAAGTCTGCGACTGCCTGTTTTCCTGTCGTTTAAACATTGCCACATTTCCATAAATGTGAATTTGTTTCCTAATCCATTTATGTGCAAAGTCAGCTATATTAGCAACCCTCATTGCCAGCAGCAGTTTGAGATACCTGAGACACCCTGCTGCTGGCCTGCCTCTGTGTTTGCCCCCTGTCTCTGGAGAGGGGGCACACTGGCCTCAGTAACGTGGCTGAAACAAGCAGCTGGAGCACAGGGACTTCTGATGTGGCTTCAGCTGTTGGCCAACTGCACACTGCAGCTTTCCCCAAATCCCTGCTGCAGACTGTAAGTGTAACCTGCTTTGCTGTGGAGGAGCAGCGTCTGTCTGTCCCTTCCTGCTGGCTATGCTCTAAGGGGAACAACCTCTGAGACACAAACACTGCTGCGAGTTTTTGGTTAAAGCAGCTGTTTCCAAAATGACTGTCTGAGCAGTCATCTACTAGAGATGTCCATGCAGCTTTCTTGCCAGTAAAACTACATCAACTTATCAAACAACATGAACTAAGCCGACAGAAGTTTCGGGGTGTTTTTGCTAGCAGCCTGCCCACACGAGAGGTTTTGCTGGCTGGGGAGGTATCTGCTTACACAGCTGCTTTGAGGCAACTCGTAATAGACACCAGGTCTTTGTCTTAAATAAACCACATCACAGTTGCCTACACAGGACGTGCTTTGCGTTCATCCCAAGGTGCCAGCCAAAGTCTCAGCACTGTCAGCTACCAGGACACAAACAACTGGGAAAGGCACCCAGACAGAAACCAGAATCTGAAGCCTTGATCCCTTTGTTAACAAACACACTAGGTTTACTGAAGTACCTTTGCAGATGTCTCTTGACAATCAGATTAATACAGAACTATCAGCAATAGCATAATACACAAAAGGTCTATCAAACAATACCCCATCGCCATAGGAGTAAATAATTATTTGCATGACAAACTTATGTTTTTAGAGTGTAAACGTGTGTGTGCTGCACATATATATCCTTGTGTAGTGAACCTCCATGTAACGTTTACTGTTCCAGTGTGTTCTTTGTTCTCCGTTACTTCGTTTGGAGGAACACAAGTTTTCTGTTTCATTGTGGCTCTTCACTGACACACATGAAAGCACCCAGCACTAGTCACTGCCCCCTCCTGGAGTCTCCCTGCACAGAGGAAACCCAAACCAGAGGGACAGCAGTGCCCAGGCTCTGCTGTGTCCCTGTCACTCCATTACCCAGAGACCACAAGGCTTGCCCAGGGACCCTGAATGTTTTCTTCTACAACAGACATCACCTAGGCTTTCTCAGAAAAATGTTAACATGAAAGCACCCAGCACTAGTCACTGCCCCCTCCTGGAGTCTCCCTGCACAGAGGAAACCCAAACCAGAGGGACAGCAGTGCCCAGGCTCTGCTGTGTCCCTGTCACTCCATTACCCAGAGACCACAAGGCTTGCCCAGGGACCCTGAATGTTTTCTTCTACAACAGACATCACCTAGGCTTTCTCAGAAAAATGTTAAG